TATCATTCGTTTTCACGTAGATATTATCAAAAAACTGTTTCGACCCGCCATATATACAGGCTGATTCACATAACTTGCACACCTAAAATAACTTTTAAGTTACGTGTCTAATGAAAAATTGTTTAATACAAAAGTTGCATAGTTTTAAGAGGGGTAAAATATGGTGTATCAATTTTTTCGTGGGTTCCAAAATTTTCTAGATCATCTTCCTTTCTTTTTAATTGAACCATATACTTCTTTTCGTCATAAATCGCACGTGTATCACCCTGTATAACTACAAAATTTGATTCTGACAAAAAGTTATGCAGATTTCGATTCTTTTCATCATTTCAATCTTGATCGAATCTCTCTAACGAGAAGAATTTGCAACTTTCCTTTTCTAAGGGAAACAAACCAAAATTCTACGTGAAAACAATGAAACTCGTGTCGAACCTAACCTCCACGCTCGGAAACGATCGGATCGAGAGTGGGCCGATTGACGCGGCGTATCGTCCAATTACGCGATCGCGTTGTAAATATTTGATGACGGAAACCGCACGGCGGCTATTTAATAAACGTGCGTTTGTCCAGCTGGAGGTCACGTCACGGTCGCGGAAATAGAAGCGAGACGATAATCGAATTGCTCGTGAACCGGCGTGAACGCGACGAGCCGAGAATCGACGTTGTTGCAACCGTCGTTCGAGGACGTTCACAAAGCGAATCGATTCATCCCCGTAACGCGCGGTTACATTTTTCCCTCCTCGCGCCGCTTTTCATCGTCAACACTCTCGCCAGAGGGGAAATATCACTCGCCCTTATACGTGCTTCTTCCTTCCCGCCTTTTCCACAACCTGGAGTTTTAGAATGAATTCAAATGGCAAGAACGACAGCCGCCGTCGTTTCCCCGACATCTTCTTCCGCCTTCTATTCCCGTTGGGAGCCACGAAATGCGTTGTACCCGCCAGTATCAACCCTCCCTTTTCGCCTCGCGGTGGAGAGAGTAATTTGATGTACAACCTTCAACTCCCGGACGATAACAAAAGAGATTAAGTGCGGCCGGCGTCCTGTTGTATTAATTTAAGTTCAGCTACGCGACCTACGCGGCGTAAACGAATATTAAGGAGGCAGGATGAGGGAAGCCTAAACATTACGAATACCTTGGACAGCTGGTAAAAGAAAAGTACATATTTGATTGACATGAGCTTCTGTATTTTAACACATTATGAATTATAAAGAGCAACATTAAAAGAAAAAGAAAGAGGGCTCTTATTTAACTTTTTAACGGCATACGTAGCTTTTTTTTACATTGCCTATCGGTGAATTAGCTGCAACGAAAAGTTCAAAAGTAAATAATATTCTCTCTAGGGATTGACGATCCAACATTTTCATTTCTGTGAAAATTATGAAAATAATAGCTATTTGTTTTTGATGTGTCGAATTTGTGCCAAAAATTTCTACGTTCTTTTGTTTATATTTTTCGAAATTGTTAAAAATTAGGAAATGTTCGATCGTCGATCCCTAGTAAATGTTACACTAAAGATACGTACCAAGCAATCGGTTGCTTAGATTCCGAGATATCTTGCACACCGTTTCTAAAAACCTAGTTTCGAGTGAAACGCGTTTAAAGTTTCAGAACGTCATTTTTCATATGTATCCTTTGCTTACTTTTTTTACTTATACATCGCGGCTCACAGTTCATACAATTCACAACTAAATTGAATCCAAGTCGCCTGATATTCGATTCACCAAAAGTAACATTTGAATCGCACGATTTACACTTTACAATACTGCTTAAAGTTGTAAACAGCAAATTCAATTATTCTGTATCCGCGGATTTATTATTATACCCCAAAATAAGTCGTTTTAAAACCTAGGACCTCTTGCATCTTATTTCTAAGACTTCAAACTGCTATTTAAAACGAAACAAAAAAAATTTTTTTGAAAATTTCAAACTGTCCTGACCCTTTAACTTAGATTTCCACCTCTCCAACTCTGTAGTTTCGAGATTAACACAACCGAGTAGAAGAAACAGAAACGAGAACGTTGGCGCCCTGTATAAGGGGCAAGGAGAGAAAAGGAGCAAAACAGGGGACGAAGGAGCACGAGTATTATTATTATTATTTATTTATTTATATATAATCCTTGCCTAAGCGGCTTAGGATGGCTTCCGGTTTACAATTGGTCTGCATTTTTTTTATTTTCAACTGTTATAACTAATTCTTAGTGTCTACGTCTTATGGATCTAATTTGCCTTTTGCTCATCTACTTGTACGAACTATAAGTAAAAGTAAAAGTAAAAGTAAAATTTAAAAGTAAAGGAAAAGGTAACAGGTACAACAATGTGAAAAATAAGAAAAAGAACTTTCTACTGTCTTCTACTATTGCTTTTTCTTTGGTATTGTCTTGCTGCTTCTTCTTCAGTCTTTCCCCCTCCGCCCTTCTGCATTCCTATGTCTATTCTCCTCCCATCTATCCTCCTGAAGGAGCACGAGTAGCCACGGGGGATGGTGCTGACGACTCGGAAGTATCGCAGAAAACGTCACGTTTTTCCACGGACTTGCCTTGATAACAGGGAAAGTTGAGTATCCTACACTCCCCTTTCCTTGTTGATCAGCTCTCCGACAACTACCCAGAAGTGGAAGCGTTAACCTTCCAGTTAAAAATGCTTTCAATTAAAATCCCGCTGCTAATACAGTGCGGATTGGGTTCGCCGACTGGGTTACGAGCCGCTCAAGAATTACTAATTGACACATATGGCCGTATATGGGGAGCGTGATGCGTTGTCTGAATTTATTGTACGTACGTTGGTGTTCCATTTGGACTTCAGCGTATCACCAGATGTATTTTTTTAATAGGAGAAATGACTCGAAAATTAGTAACAACGAGTAGATAAATAATAATGATTAATTAATTAATTAGTGGTAATAATAAGTAAATGAACAGATGAGGAATAATAATTAATTAACAAGTTGATCACTAAGTGAGCCGCTTTTTTTTTGAAAGTGGTGTTCAAATCCAATTTTGAGAAAAAATAAGTTAACACCATAACAGTTTTAGTCAAATACAAATGTCTTCTTTTCCAATTAATAATTATCACAGTGAATAGTGTACAATGTCCTCAGAAATTCAAAAAAAAGTTGAACTGTAGAATGTCGTTGCAAGAGTGTTTTTTTTTTTTCTTTTTTAAGTGACATAAGTCCATACTGTAAACGAAATGTTAACGAAGGTTTTCATAATTTTCATGACAGAACAAAGCTTATATGTCTGCATACGCTTTTAAATCAATTCAAACGCAAACCATTAAATATCTCGAAATGAGAATAAATGGAGTTGTGCCGCGAAAATGAAGAGGCTCGAGTGAGATGATTCCAAAATTTGACGAATCAAGATAGAAAAGTTATTTTACGAGATGTAAAAATTATGAATTACCTTGTTTCTCCTTGGAATCTTTTTGCTATAACCGTCTTACCAGCATTGTAGTTAATCCTTCGTCGAGAAACGAGTCTCGAGTCGAAATGCAATTCTATTTGTCGACATCTCGTCGAGTCGTCGAGGATTTGAAAGTAGAAACCTGCATAAGCGGCAGAGCACGCGGAATGCAACCCGAGCTTTTAAAATATAACTTCATTGGCTCGTTGGCGGGAACCTCGCTAATCTAAAAAGGAAGCCATTTTGTTAATCTAACGTAAAAATAAATAAATGTCCCGACACTGCAAATTGCGCCTGTATATTAAGCGTTACAGCGCTGAAAGCTTTTAGCAATCTCTATGTATCTTCGTGGCGTACGTTTAATCCTTCACAAGAGCAAACTAGACAGGATAATGTCAAAAGCTAAGTTTTTAATCAGTAGTTTATGCTGCGTCTTACCTCGCACGCGATAATTCATACTGCTACTCTCTTCTATCTCTTTTAGCACATTATCATTAACGGCGGACACTTTGATCGATTAATAAAAATATTATTATAAACAAATTAACAATTATGATTTAATGACAAAATATAAATAGATTTGTACAGTTATGTCCAAATCAGAAACTAATATTAATTTTGACAAGAGTGTCCCTATCATTTAAACACTCAACGTGAAAAATAAAAGGTCTGGAATCGGTAATATTGATGGATAATTGAAATGACAAAATATAAATAGATTTATACAGTTATGTCCAAACAGAAACTAATATTAATTTTGACAAGAGTGACCCTATCATTTAAACACTCAACGTGAAAAATAAAAGGTCTGGAATCGGTAATATTGATGGATAATTGAAATGACAAAATATAAATAGATTTATACAGTTATGTCCAAACAGAAACTAATATTAATTTTGACAAGAGTGTCCCTATCATTAAACACTCAACGTGAAAAATAAAAGTCTGGAATCGGTAATATTGATGGATAATTGAAATAATAAAATAATGAAATTCCACAATTATTTAGAAAATTTTCATAATGATAGTTCTAACAAATAATACGTATTTCTTACACGCTACTATCATTTCAAACATCCCGCCAAGAAAGTATTAATATTGTTAAAATGCACGTGCGAATATTGAATTCACCAGTATGGTTACTGATAAAAGTATATATATTTCGTATGATATACACTAAGTATCTGCTATAAAATATAATATAATAAAAGAAATAAAATCTCATCTTTGATTAATCTCAACTGGACGCTGTCACGCTTGACTCTGGTTTGGCTTTTGTTTTAAACACATCGCACGCATAGATCCATTTATACCGCTAAATTCAAATCTTAAAATTCAACAAATATCGATATTCAATTCATACGTTTAAACGAACAGACGTTGCAAAATTCTAATTCGGAGGTTTAATACAAACCTCTCGGTGAAAGAAGTTGCCCTCTGATGCAAATACACGCCCGAGTTGCGCGTGCATTCAACCCTTTCTCCCCGGTACTCGTTCAACCCATCGGTAGAGCAACGAGTAACAAGCTCGAGAAACAAGCACGCACTCGAACGTGTTCTAATCTTCGCCGTCGTGTTTCCCTTGTTAACAGAAATCCTCGGGATGGAGCTAAGAACGGCGAAACTGTTGCTTTACTCGACGCTGGTGGTGGCGGTGTGCCGGAGCCAGGAGGATTGGACGGCGCAGTGTTCGTCGTCGTGCAAGTGCCGATGGATCTCCGGCAAGAAGACCGCCGAGTGCATCAGGCAGAATCTCACGCAGATACCGAGCAGCCTGTCGCCGGAGATCCAGAACTTCGACCTCACGGGGAATCGTATCACGCACCTGATGCACGACTCGTTCAGCCGTGTCCACCTGGTCAACCTGCAGAAGCTGGTGCTGCGAAAATGCGAGATCGAATCGATACACACGGACGCGTTCAACGGGCTGAAGATCGTGATCGAGATCGACCTGTCGGCGAACAACATACGAACGTTGTACCCGGGCACGTTCGAGGAGACGCAACGGCTGAGGGTGTTGCTGTTGAACGAGAACAAGCTGAAGGTGCTTGAGAACGGTCTGTTCCGCGATTTGGTCTACCTGCAGAAGGTGATGCTGTCCAACAACGAGCTGGAGCGGATCGAGGAGAAGACGTTCCGCAACCTTCCGGGATTGCGGCTGTTAACGTTGGACGGGAACAACCTGAGCGTGCTGAAGGTGCAGAGCTTCGAGACGTTGCCCAAGCTCGGCAGCCTCGAGCTGCACAACAATCCGTGGAATTGCAACTGCCGTCTGAAGCGATTCCGCGACTGGACCATCGAACGAAAGCTGTACACGAAGCCGACCACGTGCCAGCAGCCGGCGATCCTCGCGGGCAAGATGTGGGACGAGATCGGTAGCGACGAGTTCGCTTGCAGGCCGGAGATCTTCACGATAGGGCCGTCGGTGAGGATCGAGGCTGGCAAGGGCAACGTCACCTTCTGGTGCAGGGCTGCTGGCATTCCACGACCGCAGGTAACAACGCGTCGCATCATTCACTTTTCTCGCGGAGTATATAATAAGTAGTATTTTTATTTAAAGAGTATATAAAAATAAAAATATTACTTATTATAAGTGTGAATATATATATATATATATATATATAATATAAAAATTTAATATATATATATATAAATGTAAATTTAATATATATATATATATAAATATAAAAATATAAATATATATATAAATATAAAAATATAAATATAATAAATATAAAAATTTAATATATATATATAATAATTATATATATAAAAATTTAATATATATATAATATATATATAATAAATATATTTATATAAATATAAAAATTTAATATATATATATAAATTTTATATTATATTATATTTTATTTTATTTTATATTATATGTATAAATTTATAATATATTTATATAAAAATAAATAATAATTTATTTTTTAAAGTAATATGTCTGAAAACAACGAAAACGCGCACGGACGAAGCATTTTGCAAAGTAGGACGCTTTAACCCCTCGCGCTGGCAACACTGGTTCGCGGACCATAACGAGCGACCGAACCGTATACAACAACTCGCCGTTTTCTTTTTCTTTTGAACTCGTCGGTACGATATTACTGGTTAGAAATTATTCAGAAGTAATAGACTTGTCATTTGTTTTGCCTGGGTTACACTTAAAGCTAAGAAAATATTGCAATTTTGGGGACGCAAAGTTCTCGACGTGCGCAAGAGGTTAACTCCGCCAATCCAGGATCATTGTGTCTGTTTGTTGCGTTTGACTCGTAGAGTCGTGACTCGCTCAGACGACGGTAAAAACGTACGTACGTATAAAATTCTACGGATGTCCTTAATTTTCAGTTTTTCATGCCGCGGAAAATTCGAAAGGACGTTCGTTAAACGTCAACGCAGAAGCCTAGCTACGTCATTTCTTTTGTACCGTGTGGTTTCAAAAGACGTCTCTCTTTTTTTTGTCTTTCCGTCGTTTTACTTCGCTGCGCATCATTCTCCGCGTAAAATTTCCCTTTGGTCGAATCAGAGGAAACTTTTTTTCCCCTCGGCGAGTTTATCCTACAAAACCTATATGTATGTACGTGTCGAAAGAATTAACGTGGCCAGCCTCTCTACGTACAGAAACGAATATATTCGCCGCCCGTATCGTTTCACTCGAGCGGTTACAATTCAGAAACGCGCGTTCACGGCGGATAAACATTAAAAAAGGATCCAAAAGGCGAAATCAGGAAACAATGTCGAGTCAGAGGTCGTTTGGAGGCCTTTTCCATGGGGCCAGGTTGCCTGAATGCGGGTCTAAACGGCGCGGATGCAATCTTTTCAACCGTCGCGACCTAACCTTCGCGTCGTGCCGCGATTGTGCAGCAAATTGCTTGCAAGTTACTCTGCGAATTATCGCGGTCTGCCCTTGGTTTAACCTCTTGCGCTGGATTGACGTGCCGCGCACGTCGAGAACTTTTTGTCCCAAATTGCAACATTCTAACACATTGCGCACCGCACTCGCCGCGCTCAATCTGGGCCCACACATTTTTGGAGCAACAGGGAAACTTTGTACAATACGTATATGCACTTGTTTAATTCGCATTGATAAAATATTCTTAAATATATTCTTAAATATATATTTAAAATATTATTAAAATATTCTTAAATATATATTTTTATATTTTATATATTTATTCTAAATATATATTCTTAAATATATATTTAAAATATTCTTAAAATATTCTTAAATATATATTTTTTGTAGCAGTATTTAAGAATCTATTTATTATGTATTTTAGATTTTAACTATTCTTTATTTTATATTTATATTAACACATTGAGGACGGTATGCTCTGATAAACATATAGCCTGTATTCTCTCGTATTTTTTGAATTATTTAATATATGATTGAAAGGGTTCAAGAAAATGTATAACATTCAACAAGTGTATTATTAAGATTATTAATCATCTTTCATCTTTTAGGTATTTTTATTAAATAAAATGAAAATACTTCTAGCAACGTTTCTTGGTGTGGTATGTTAGGAAACAATTTCCCAACTTCTTGAAAAATTATACGACATTATAATATATAATTATACATTATATGTAATATTATATAATATAAATTATATATAACGTTATCTATAAAGACGCGAATTCGCACAATGTGTTAAGTATAACTCAGACGAAACAAATAATAAATTTGTTACTTCTCAATCATTTCTATCCAGCGATATCATACTGACGAGTTCGAAAAGAAAGCGACGAATTTACTGTATACGGTTTGGTCGCTCGTTATGAAAGGAAATGTCGATTAATTTATTCTCTGGTTATAAGACATCTATACATAACTTTAGTTCCGACGATCACAAGTTTTAAAAGAAAAATAACATCGTACGCCTCGCTTATGTCACACCTACATGTCACCTCTACAAAACTCACGCGGCCATGCTTGCACGACTCGACGGCTCGACGAGAACAGAACACTACCGTCATAGTACCGACGTGCAGTCATACTTCGTTATCCTTACATACCTCTCTCACAGAAAAGGATATGAAACGTTGGTTTCTCGTTTCAGTTGTCGTGGGTGCATCGATCGAAGACCCTGAGCAATCACACGAGACGTCACAACGGCGAGAGCTACGTGCTGAGATCGAGCCACGAGTGGCTGAACCTCACGATACCGGACGTTACGCTCTCGGACAAGGGCGATTACATTTGCCTGGCGAAAAGTCCGGGCGGCAACACGGAGAAGAACGTGACGCTGACGATCGCCGGTGACGCTCTAAGCGGCAAGGACAGTATAATCAGTTTGCCACTGGCGCTAGGTTTAGGGGTGACCGCTTTGCTGCTTCTGGCGGTGACCGTGTCCCTCTGCGTGTGCTATTGCCGACGGCGGCGTACGAGGCACGACGAGAAGAGCTTAGAGGCCGCCTCGATGGAACACCACGGCCTCGGCGAGCAGGAGAAGTCCCTCATCACGACCATAAATCCCGTGGTGAAGCCGCCCAGGCGGTACGAGGCGCCTTCGGTGACGTCGCACGGCACCGAGATGACGGAGCTGAATCGCACATTGCTCGACAACGACTCGGTCTTCGGTCAGTACACTGCCTACATTACTAAACAGTGCGTGGCCAGGTGCTAGCTACTAACCATTTGTTAGCCTCCGGGCGGCGATTACACGCCGAGAGACGTTCGCGGAGAGACGTTGGAGACTCGATCAACCGGGTGCCTCGATGGTCGTACCGTCGTTGCTGCTCGCGTGCAACACGCGCCAGCACGAAACGAGGAAATCGAACGAGTAATGGGTTTCCGACCGTGAACCGTCGTTTCTCTTCCTTCTACCGATTGTCGCGTGAATTCTCGCCCGCAAACGTCAGACGTTTCTTTCTCGCGAAAATTCCCGAAATAACATATTCGAGAATCGTTGGCGGAAGGCTGGCGACGAAAATGTTTTTTTACACCGCCGACCGAGGCATCTCAAAATGTTTTTATACGACGCACGTAGGACGTGAAGCTTTTCTACGATAGAGAGGTGTGTTCAAGTGCTTCTGTGAATATACCAAACGTGTATGTACTATATCGAACAGGGTTATACTCCCATTAACGGAGCAAAATCGCTTGATACATATCCAGTATGTAGACTTTTGTAAAAAGACAGGGAAGGGGGGGGGAAGTGATTTAATCGAGGTTAACGAGCGTATGTATATATATTTTGTATATCATTGCAAGACGCACGGTTTGGCACGATAATCCATAAATCCGCGTAACACAACGTGCGACAGTCGTCAAAAAAGTATCACGAGGCATGCGTTTCCTCATTGGCGTCTTTTTGTATTTTTCATTCGGAGAGTACGATGGTATGTTGCTAGGTTACAACTGCGAGAAGAAATAGTTAATGTTATATTATGGAACGTTATGTCACCGAACGATTCGACGTTTTTCTACTGCCCCGTTTTATCGTCGACCGTAAAAGAAATATCGAGTGGCGGCGAACGTTGCGTAAACCCGGTCTGAAATAAAAGAAAGGAGAAGAAGAAACGCTGGAAAAAAAAAAAAGCGGAGTTGTTATATTTCTCTCGCAAAGTATTCTTTTACTCGAGCTATATCGAACAATAAACTAGAAAGTATAAAGTACGGACGAAATTCAATTTTAAGCGTAACGCAACAATAGACGGTTGAAGAATGCATTCATTTTGACTCCAACGTCTACGTAAGACGAAAGTCTACGGTAGTAATACTCTAATTGCAACGCTAACTTTGTTTGAAACATTTTTCTTTTCTCTCTCGGGAAACAGTTGTTCGAACGTTGAAAACGAACAATCAGAATCGGGGATCGAAATTGACAGGGTTTCTTTTCGCTTTGAAAAAGAAATCCTGGTCGAGAGCTTGTGTATTTAAACGATATAAAATAATATGAAATATACATTTAAAGTATATTTCTCTTCTCGTGGAATTTTTGCAGAAAGAGCAGATATTTTAGAATCTGTATGATAAAAGCACCGCGGAAACGCGTTATTATAGAACACGTTCGTTTCAATTAAACCTCCATTTTTACAAATTCGAGCACTCTCCCGCTGAATGTTCAGTATCAATATTTGCTACAAATATTGACAGTATTTTTTAACAGCGACGAACAAATTATCTGCCCCGTCGGACAGAAAAATTTTTATTCTCTTACTTTACGAGTTCTCGTCGGGACTCGTGGCGTAAGAACATTTTTCGAAAAAAAAAAAAAAAAAAGAAAGAGAAGAGAGAGAAGGTTCCACGATCCGCGTTTCAAACAGAATCTATCTAACTTTTTCGGTCCCTGGTCGGAACGAACGATTCAGGTCGTGTGTGCACGTTTGCGCGCGGTGCGCTCGCGATGCAGTCGCTTTCGTAGCAAAATCATCGCTGATATTGACACGAAGATCAATCAACGGAACGGCGAACAAAGGAATTTCCCCCTTGCGGACGCGGTGGAACGGTGCGCCGAAACGAAATCCAATTTTAGATATTGTTAACACCGCGGCCATTAATCTTCCGATTTCCTTCGAAAACATTCGCTCGCCCCGGCTTCGAGACTCGCCGAGGAGTATCGTCGCTGATTAAAAGGGACGGAAATAGATCAGTCGTATACGCGTGTATACGGCGAGTGTATTTAACTTTTAAGAGACAATCGTTGTCGAACGGCGAGGTTCGGTAGATGCAGCGTCATCGATCGCTCGTGGCGAACGAGCATCGACCAAAACTGTTACAAGATTAATGAGAGCGTGCAACACGTAACGATAAACGAAGAGAAAGAGAGAGAGAGAGAGAGAGAAAGAGAGAGAAAGCGAGGGATAGATGTACAGAGAGCGGAGAAAGACATTCGTCATTTACGTCTGGTCTCGTTATCGATATCTCGTTTTCCTTTTCCCCCGCCGACAACCTCGTTTCGCTCTAAAAGAAACGTCGCTGCGCACCCGACGTGTTCACCTGTTCCGGTTTAATTAGACGCGACTTTAACACATTCGCGACTAGCCAATCTTTCGCTTTTTTAATGAAGAAACTCTCGAACCAAATTGATGGAAATTTCCGACGTGGAAACAGGGACTGAAATTAGAAAATTGATGTTTTGAAGTATCAGTCTTGTAACGATCTGTTGTTCAAAGTGAAGAATCTTTCGTTAAAGAAGTCGCAAATAGAAAAGAGCAGAAGAACAAATTATTTTGAAAGTTATTATATTCTAGGGTTCCGGGGTTTTGCATACTTTAATTCTAGATAAATAATAGACTATTTGTTATCGTTATATAATTAATATTTTGAAATATTAATCTTCTAATCTGTTGTGAAGAAATGAAGAACCTTTCGTTAAAGAAGTCGCAAATAAAAAAAAGAGCAGAAGAACAAATTATTTTGAAAGTTATTATATTCTAGGTTTCTAGGTTTCTTGGCTTTGCCTACTTTAATTCTAGATAAATAATAGACTATCTGTTATCGTTATATAATTAATGTTTCGAAATATTAATCTTCTAACGATCTGTTGTTCGAAGCGAAGAACCTTTCGTTAAAGAAATCGCAAATAGAAAAAGAGCAGAAGAACAAATTATTTTGAAAGTTATTATATTCTAGGGTTCCGGGGTTTTGCATACTTTAATTCTAGATAAATAATAGACTATTTGTTATCGTTATATAATTAATATTTTGAAATATTAATCTTCTAATCTGTTGTGAAGAAATGAAGAACCTTTCGTTAAAGAAGTCGCAAATAAAAAAAAGAGCAGAAGAACAAATTATTTTGAAAATTATTATATTCTAGGTTTCTAGGTTTCTTGGCTTTGCCTACTTTAATTCTAGATAAATAATAGACTATCTGTTATCGTTATATAATTAATGTTTTGAAATATTAATCTTCTAACGATCTGTTGTTCGAAGCGAAGAAATCGCAAATAAAAACAGAGCAGAAGAACAAATTATTTTGAAAGTTATTATATTCTAGAGTTATGTGGTTTTGCATACTTTAATTCTAGATAAATAATAGACTATTTGTAATAATAGACTGTTTGTTTATATAATTAATGTTTTGAAATATTAATCTTCTAACGATCTATTGTTCGAAGTGAAGAACCTTTCGTTTAAAAGTCGCAAATAAGAAAGAGCAGAAGAATAAATTATTGTCAAAGTTATTATATTCTAGGGTTGTACGATTTTACATACTTTAATTCTAGATAAATAATACACTATTTAGTTACCGTATATTTATTTGAAAAACACATGACATCACATCAGTAGCAATCACGATCGGTACTCGTAACGACGTGAATTCACATCAGCGGTCGCGAACGTGTTAATCTAATCTGTTCACCACGGATGTATCGTATCGCGAAAACGATTGTTACTATTTTGATAGACTTGTAAATACGCGTGAACGCACGTGCGATTCGAAACACGAGTCGGAATTCCCTAATAACGTACGTCGACGCGCACGGTGAACGTTCAATCAGAGTATTTTTGTCCTTGTAAGCCTGTCTTGACTGGTATCGCGGCGACGACGTTGCCTGTAACATAATGTTCTCACAAAAGTCAACGATGACGATAAGAAACGACGGCGATCAACGAGAAAGACGGAAAGTGGGGAAGAAGCGATTGCTCGCAGTTCGATTTTGTGCGCGTATGTAACAACAGGATACAACGAAGAGAATAAATCGAGTCGAAGTCGCGAAGACGCGAAAAGAAAATGGCGGGAAGAAGGGTCGAAAGAAAGGAAAGAGACACGTTGTTGTTGTTGTTGTTGTTAATTGAAACACAGTTACTCGCTTCCCGGCGTAAATAACGAAAACACTTGGAATAATAAGGGGATCGTTGTTTCATGCACAAAATGGCGATTAAAACGATAAAGGAAAAGGGATTCGCCTCGGATTTCCATAAAAGGGGGAAGGCGGTAATAATCGTTACCAGGCGGCGCTGCTGTCTGAATTAGCGGCGTCTTGTCTTCTCTGTTTATCGAGAACAACACATACACACACACACGAACGATTCTTCTCTCTTCGTGTGTTCTCCTCTCGCACGTACACG